CTTTTGAAGCAGCCTCGAGCAAGCCCTTTCTTTCGCTTTCGGACCTCTAGGAACGCCTCTATCCCGCTGTCTGCAGCGTCTAGCCGTATCTGGTTCGTGCCCTCCACACCATGCTCGTACCCTCCCTCCAAGGCTCCCGGCAATCTCCTCCGCCTTTCCACCATCTAATTCGAGACCAAAAATCGTCCAAAAATTGTCCTGCTCTCTAACGTCGCTTTCGGATCCCATAAAACAAACTTTTAAAGCGGCCTCGAGCAAGCCCGTCACCAACACATCCAAAAACACTTCGTCCCCTCCACACCATGCTCGTACCCTCCCTCCAAGGCTCCCGGCAATCTCCTCCGCCACGCCTTTCCACCATCTAATTCGAGACCAAAAATCGTCCAAAAATTGTCCTCCCAGTGCAGGCCCAGCTGTCTCACGTCGCTTTCGGATTCCGTTAAACAAATTTTTGAAGTGCGCCCCCACAAAGCAAGACCGCGCTCGAACCCTCCACACCATGAGCACTCGTACCTTCTCTCACGCGCTCCCCTTGCAGTCGCAAGGGGTCGGCGGATATAGACCTTTCTTTTTCCACTCCTTTTCTTGACTTGTCGAGTGGCTTTCATGTCTTGCCCGTTTGGTAAGGACAGAAAAAGCTTTAACAAGAAGAGCCGAGTCCTTGAGGCAGGAATGTGCCGCGGCTCGTGTGGTTAGATTAGAGACTTCTTATGATCAATAGTCCGACAATAGTGATACTGCAGTGATGCTCGCTCCATTTGGTGTGCTGCCTTTCCCACGCGTATCGCTGCACTGGTCGACTGGAAAACTAGGCCAATTTGGCCGATGTGCTCGCCTTCGGCGGTCCGTCAGTCGAAGTCACTTCATGGTCGGTCCGACTCGAGTCACAAGGTCAAGTCGGCCAAGCCTCACTCTGGTTTCGCCAATAGGAACTCGCTTTTCTTAGATACATATTCCATCATATTCCATCCAGCAGCCAGGCGGTGGTGCCTCAGACTCCTGCTGGTCTATGGAATCAGGTGTGGCACAGATGAACTACAGTGCTATTGTTTGGACAGCTGCACATATGCATGCGATCGGACAGAATCAGACTTAACTTTATCGCAACCAATGGCTTCAAGTTTGTTGCAGCTGAGCCTGCTTTTCTCTTATCTCTCTCCACATTGAGCCTTTTCTTCCTGGTACTTCACCCTCCTTCTCAAATGGCAGGAGCGAAGCCAAGTAGGAGAGGAACACTTGCAGAAGGGAGATGAGCTGGTGAAGCTGGATGGTGCTGATGGCATATCATTGTAGTTCAACAAGTTGTTTTTTGTTTTTAATAGTTTGCAGTTTGCAGATGTTTGCGGTATGCAACACCGACATGCGCCAACAAGCTCCAACAACAAGATTTGCCAGGGCAGGATGGCTGGGAAGCTTGCAATCAGCTGCCAAATCTGCAGAGCCCTGAATCTCCCAAGCTAATGCAAATCTTCCGGCTTCCTGCAACCACAGACCTACGCAGACGCCGATACATTTCTGAGGCAGAAAGTTCAGTTGGTCTTTCACAGACCTGACCAGGCAAGAAGAGTTCATGAAACTCCGACACTATGTTGGAAACAGCGTGGTGAACGTTCCACAGGCAGAAAGAAAGGGAAGGCGCTCATCCAAGGCCACATCCTCAGCGCACAAACGTTGGATTTGTAAAACCAGTTGGAGAGAGCATGTCGGTGTCCTCAGGGCTCCTTGCGGGGAGATGTCTCAATGCAGGCAATGTCTCCTGCATGTTTGCTTACTCTGTTGAGCCTGTTGAGCCTTGTGTTCAAAATCAACGTGTGGTGAAGCCATGAGCGGAGGCATCGCTTCGCAAGCAAAGGCAGGTTTGCCTATCCAAGCAGAGAATAGTCAAGATGATACGTCAACATAATTACTCGACATGCGGCATGCGTCGCTATCTTTGGCAGACTTTGGGGTGATTGTTTCCTTGACTGTCAGCCTGCATTGGAATGGTCATTGTCCACAAGTCGACAGTCGACCCCTCGAAAATATGTCAAAGGAAAGCTAAGCTCGGTTTCTGCTCTCAAAGCATGGAGGTCTATGGTCGAACGGCTCAAGACTTCCCATTTGCATCCATTTGCCGGGAGTGGATTCTTGATGTGCTAGGCAAAATGTCATGAGCACGTCTAGCACTGGCAGCGGCGGTTCTCGAGCTCAGGGTGCGCTTGAGACATAGACCTGCTTGATACATGTTATTACACACATAGAATCCAAGCTCACTGCAAACTCGAAGGTACCAGCCCTCCACCACACACGCCACAGACACCTTTGGATTTGTCCAGAACAATGGGAGAGCCGATTGGATGGCATTCAGCGTGGAAGTTCTTAAAGTTAAATTACTGTAAATTCATCTATTTGATTCTATTTGTATTTGTTTTTTGCAGTGTCAGGCGTCAGGAGACCCACAGACATTTTGTTTCATGTGCTTCAAACGTGCGTTGTTGTGGCTCTGAGGCCACCTCGGCCTGGGAGGGGCGACGTGAGAAGCGAGGGGGACACCTCAGCATTAATCCAGGTGCTGAAGGACAACTTTGTGAGCCTGGAAGGCGCGCTCACAAAACGGACAACTTGTAATCAAGATGCATTTGAGTTAATGGTACACATGTCCTGTCATGTACCTCGGTCTTCTTACACATGCCACCAAATGGGTTCACATTGCAGCAATATCCTTTCTCCCTCGACACGTCCCACATGCCGTGATCACTGTTTCGCAAACCGGGCAGCAAACCGTTTCGCCGACTTGCAGAATTATGCAGAATTCATATTTTGTTTGATGAATGTTTGAACTACTGGTACTAGAACAAGAAGCTACTAGGGGCTCCTGGCATCGCTACTGGCATCGCTACTAGGAGCAAGGACGCTACTAGGGGCTCCTGGCCTTACTACTAGGAGCAAGGACGCTACTAGGAGCGTTTCACCTTGGCCTTTCAGAATCTTGGTGTTGCGCATGTTGACTCAAGGTCAACTCGAGCGCCGGGATGCGCAAGATATGCCCTCGCCTTAGGAGATGATGACCTTCAGGTCATGTGCAACATTTAGACCAGTTCTCTTGTCCATACAGACTATAGGCCAAAATCGAAACAAAGAGCGATGCACGCGAAATCCAAAGACCGATGACCGATGACTTGAGCTTTAAGTTGATGGGTTTTGTCCTGAGGCAAGACTCAGAGGCCAGCGACGGCATTTTTCGATAGTGTCAGATTCAACACACGTCAGCCAACTATACAAACTATCCAACTGTGTGTTGCGCAAGAGCATTTGGTCACTTTCTTCAACCTTTGTCCCTCATTTATATACAGGGATGTCATGTTTAAAACCTTGACTTGACTTCACCAGGCGTCCAAAGCCAAATCTGTCTTGTGTGAGGTGAGCCCTTCTTCACGAGTGACACAGGAGTACAGCACGCACGATCTATATAGCTGTGACAATACCAGCAGTAACATCATTTCTTAGACGTCAACAGTATGACTTAATGGTCAAAGACGATATCTAATATTGTTTAAGACTTCCAAGTTCATGCTGTGCCAGACACTACAGAGTGGATCTGAAGATACTGAAGAAGCAACATGAGAATGATATACAGTACATGATACTACCAAGCGTGCATGCACACGGAGACCTGAGAAGTTGTGTGGCATGCCACATGTTGTGGGAGGTGAACATGTGCTGGTACTTCCTTTTCTTAAAGTGTTCGTGTGTCTAGCATTTCTTATCATTTCCTCCTATAATGACATCATGCATGTTCAACTGGAATGACTGCAGTAGGCTGGTGCTGAGTTTTTTGAGCTCACAGGACACCTCGCTCATGGTAGAAAGGATCATGGAGCACTCAGCGTGGGGGACGCAGGAAATACCTGACTCTGACTAAAAGACGCGTTCACACTGCAGCAGCACAAGGGGTCAATAAAGTCTTGAATTGTCCCGAGATGGGTAGAGTCCAAGACAAAAAAGGGCCCCGGTGACATGAGAGGACAACAACGTCACTTGGGAGTACTTGGGAGGGACCCTAGTTTCTGGATGTTGAGCATGTGAGTCCTGGACATAAGGGGTCGGCAACAAGCTGGCAAGCCGAACCTGACCTCAGTGATTCAAGTCCAGCGCTTAGACTCTCAAAGCTTCTTGGATCTCACCAAGATTGAACTTGCTGCTTGGAATGGCTTGCTTTGGTGAGAAGGCACACTGACACGCAAAATGTTGCCCCAAATGCTTGCATCTAGCGGCTTCACTTCCAGGTTGTCAAAAAGGTGTTTGACTAAAGCGTTTGAACACTGACAATTTGTGAAGGTTAAACGTGAATACATCAGCCAAGAGGCTTGGTGAGTAGAGGCAGCAAAAACACCAACACATATCGACACAGGATTCTGCAAATGTTGGTCGGTTCAGAGCTGTATTGCTTGATTTGATGCTGCAAACCTGAATAAAAGCTCCATTTCTGTCCAAGGCCAACAATTTTCGTGAGCTATCCACGCTCGCAACTCTCATTGTGAAGAAGGAGGTGGGGAGTGTGAAAACCTGGGGATCTTCCTTTATCCAGCATACCCATGAAGGGCAGCTCACAATACCATAAAAGCACCAGCTTGACAGGAGTGCCCTCTTGGAGTTTTTCACTCCTGACACTAAAACAAGTGGCCAACCAATTCTGGCCTCCTTATCCTTGACACTGGAATCTGTGGGCATATGTGGGCATCAATGGCATCAACTTGTGCTTCCCGCACCTCTTTGCAAAGAAAGCAGTGCAAGCTGTACATTGTGTCGACTGACAGGAACTTCCGGCGATACAGCATGTGAGTTCACTCATGGCCAAGAATTCTCGAGGACTTGGCGGCAAACCGTTACATTTAAAGGCGATTGAATTCGTTGATGCCAGGAAAAACTCGTGCAATTCCGAAGCTTTCGGAAGCAGAAGGGAATAGAGCGATTTAGCTGCCTTCTGTATTGGAATTGCTTGTCAGGAGGTGAGCCTGGGTCTGCAGAGGTGACGGAGGTAGCGAAATAGATGCAAACTGACCAAACACATGGAAAGCATATGTTGTAACGTTGTATGTTTTTTTCAAGTTGCTTGTTCTATTTATATAGATTGCTTTTGCTGCTTGGAGCACGAAGCTCCTTCACCTCAATGCCGCTTTGTTAGGCGGCAGAGTTCTTGCTGGATTTGCTGACTTTCCTCAAAGCGAAGGTGCGGCAGTTCCGTGAGGTCGGCCGTGTCGGGGCCTGAATGACAACACCGTGCTGCGTTTTCATGAATCGACATATATAGACTCCTTGGACTTGGCAGGCGCAAGATGACCAACCAAGAGCCCCTCTACCACGGCCTTGACAAGGCACGACAACTCGCAAGTTGGACAGGACAGGTTTGACGGCGCACAAGGTGTCCAAGACTAAACATCTCCGTACGTCTCAAAGTTAAAGATTGATCCCAAAGACCCAGCTGATCTCAAGTAGTGCAGGCATGCATAAGAGGGTGTTTTGATCATCCGACGTTGGTGTCGGTGTCGCAGGCCATTCCTTGACAAAGTTTCAAGACGACAGCTATGGACTCTATCAATGAGTCCATTGGATTGAATTCGTCTCACTGTCAGCAAAGCTGATACCAAGTACAGCTGCATGTCTGCAGCCACGTGAAAGAGAGGCGCATTGATACGTGCTACCTGGGGCATGCCGATGCAGGCATGAAGCTATGCTAAACTGCAACCGATAGAATTTATTGTAGAAGAAGCGAAGTGCACGTACGACGGGAAGTGGAAGTTGTAGTAGAAGAAGAACAGAGTATTGCCCTAAGACCCTAAGAAGCTAACTGTAGATTTGTGTCTTCAACAAGGTCTAGCAGCTCATAGTGAAAGGGGAGAGAGAGGGAGAGAGGGAGAGAGAGAGAGAGAGAGCGAGAGAGCGAGAGAGCGAGAGGGAGAGAGGGCGAGGGCGAGAGGGAGGGAGGAAGGGAGGGAGGCAGGCAGGCAAAAAGAAAGAATGAAAGAGAGAGAATAGAGAGAGAGAGGGAGAGTCAGCCACCCCCTCAGTTGCTCCTTCAGTCAAAGTGTCATCAGACTTGCAATCACACTACAAGATACTACAAGGGGAATGAATCACAACTTTCTGTTTGGTTCAAGCTTTCCGTAGTCACTGGGGAAAAGCCGTGGCCACTTGGCTTCTGCCTCAGATTTCAGAGGACCCGAGCTTCTAGAGGATGTATCACAGTGAGTGCAAGGTCGGCTTGCCTGGCTGGCAGCCATGGTCCACCCTGCGGATTTAATCAACATGATCGGTGCAGCAGCCCGTACCTTTTGACAGTTGAAGCGCTTTGAAATTGTTGAAAGAGTACAGCCGAGTACAGCCTATTCATGACAGGCCATGCTTTGGGTTGACAAGCACCGGCCCAAAGTGCTGGCGGAGGCGTGTGTTCCTTTAGGTGCTTTTGGCAGGTTTGCTCTCAGAGTTCGACTTGTGCAAGTCTTGCGCGTTAGTCTTGTTGGTCTTCACCTTGTGTCCGCCTTGTTTGCTGGGCAGTTGGACTACCATAGGGATCTCAGCGACCGACTGCGACGTATTGCCGGCAGTGGGTCTGGGGCTTGGCCTTGAGATCGACAGTAGCAGCACTACTTCTTTTTTGAGGTAAGTTGAGTAGTTGAGTAAGCAACAGGAAACTACTAGCCAAGGATGCAGTAGAGCGATTCCTAGACTGTTTGGGACATTTGAACCATTTTGAACCCGTCGGAAACTCAAAGAGATGGTTGCAGGGAGATGCCTCATATTCTGATGTGTGGGCCCAGCGGCGCAGGGAAATCTACACGCACCGTGGCTTAATTGCTTTTGAAGTACTGTGACGTTTAGTGCATGAAGGTGGAATGCAACCAGGACCAAGGTACTTGTAATGGAACTATATACACAGGTGGTGTTATGACGCTTGCAGGTTCCAACGATACTCGTATAAATAACTATATGCAGCGCCCAGAGACCTGTGTTTGACTGGACAAAATACAAGATTGGCAACAAGTTGGATGAGCGAGAAGCAAAAGAGCAAACCGTACAGTTACTGTAAACCATTCTACACCGCACCTGGCTTTAGAATTCTTTGGCTTTAGATATTGAAAGCATTCATCAGGCTGTTCGTGACATTGAGTTTGAATGAGGTGACCTTGATGTATGATGATACATGAGTCATTTATTTACCGACATACAGCATAGCTTGGAGGAGTAGAAACTTTTGGAAAACAAGATCCAGACACGCACCGGCGGTTTCTTCCTCATCTATCTCTTAATAACTCGTATTGGTTATTTCTCTTTTATTTTTTTCATCTTTTATAATTAATGTCCATCATCACACATGAATTTCCATAAGTGATCATAATAAACTTAATGTGCTATATATCTTTTGGATTATTCACATGTGGGTTGCTATTGAACTATTTATGGTCAATAATTTCATTTAACAAGATAGGGAAATGCGACCATTACAATTAGTATTCAATACAAATCATCGCGATGGTTCACGTTTGGTATTGTGTCTTTGTGGATTGGTGGAGAAGGCGTTTCTCTTCCAAATAGCGGTGCTGAACCTTGATACTTGTACTTGGCTAAGGTGTGCATGCTCTACTCAGAGAGATCTATGGGTCTGGCGTTGATACGGTGAAGGTGAGGTGATCTGCATTAAGACTGGCTGAGCAAACATCCTGACTGAACATTTTGCTTGGCTTTGCACGTGAAAACAAGTATATCGGTGATTTCATGTTCTTCAGAACACTAGTTGCTGGATGCAATCCGCTTCCGATCATGAATGTTTGTTTTCCTTTCGTTCCGTGAGCTGATGCATTGTTTGTGCATGTACTGAGGCTAAAGGAGTCTGGTAGGTCCATGTCACCATCAGTATCTCACTTACACCTTCTGCACTTGTCAGGTGGAGACCAAGTCAGTGGCTCCAAATCCTAGCAATCCATCCAACACGGTGGACATACAGGCACAAAAACGCGGGCACACCACTAACAGTTTCCCTTTTTAGGGGGTTCCATGGGGGTCCCTCATTGCTGCGTACCGAGGTTGTGACGTCCAATCACCATTTGCAAGTCACGCCATCAGACCTTGGCCGGAAGGATGGACAGATCGACTCAGATCGTCGGTAGTGTCCTTCACCTCGTTGCTTCCTCTCTCGTTGGAGGACCGAGCTGTGGTGATGCAGCTGATCAAAGAAGCAAGGGGCCTAAGAATGGACTTTGATCCGTAGCAAGCAATTATTGCAGGTCGAATAAAGTACTGTGTTGTTGACTTGTCTTGAGGATTCTCTTTGTTTGAAGGGAGAGACAAAAAGAAAAGCTGGAAGATATTTGGATGTCAGCAGACATGATCATTGAACCATTAAACACGCCGATCAGCTTAGAAACTCATTGCAGGTTGCCTCTCATCCTCCGTTGGGTGGGCATTCTTTCAAGGCTTCACCGCGTACTTGACAGCTAACCTAATAGCAATGGCCTCCAACCTAAGAGCAATCTCTACATGATGTTCATTCATCTTTGTGATGCATCATTTGTGTTTTGTTCATTGGGGTGTCAAACCAGGTGGTGGTGATCGAGGAAGCAGGCGCATTGTCATCGGAGGCTCAGGCAGTCTCAGTGAAACGGCTTGCACAAAAGCAGATCAATTTGTTGTGCCATTTTAGTCAGAAGGGATAAAATAGGGAGATTATATATACAATATATACTGTATATATAATACAGAATGGGAATGGGTGCTTGTTTTAAACACAGTTGTTGTTTGTTGGTATATAGTGGCACGGAGGAACTGAGTCCATTTCCCAGGCAAGTAGTGAGAAGAATGGATTGGATTGAATAGTTTATTCATGTTTAGTCTTTGGTTCTTTGACGTCGCTTGTTTGTGCTTGACACTCGAACAATGCTGAACCTGGAGGCTGCACTGAGAAGAACAATGGAAAGGTATATGAAGGCATTAGCCCCAATGACGAAATGATGAAAGCTTCTAAAACTCGGAAACAGAGATCTCGCATGGGGTCGTTGTTGTTTCTAGCGTGCTTCATTTGTGCACAGGCTTCTGACCTTACTCATTTGCGGGCTAGTAGTGAGCCAGTGATTGTGATTGGATCAATTTGCACGAATCTCTAGCAGGGGTGCACTGATCGTTTGGCCAAGACCTGCCGCATCATCCTTCTCACTGATGGAGCTTCGAAGATCATTCCTCCTTTGAGGACAGGATGATCAACACGTGGCATACAGTACAACACTGACTCTGAGTCCTGAAATTGTGTTCAAAGGAGTCGATGCTTGCCCATTCGAGTAGGCCAGGACATGTTCATCGAATTGATCGCTTCAGAATTGAAGACTTCCGATCCAGGTGCACCTAGCACTGAGGAGATCGCAGCCGTTCTAACCAAGGTGAGCGCTTTTGTCTTGCAAAGCCTACAGGAAGAAGTGGACCTTCGAGTCAGTGCTGAAGTCACACACAATCAACAACTCGAAGTCCACCTTCTCAGGTCTCGATCGCAGAAGGTCTGAAGTTAGCAGCTGACCTGAGCCACAAGGTGCTTCTTCCGGTGAATGAAGAATTTACATCCTGGTTTTGGGAATAATCATGGCACTGCTCGACTTTAGGTCTCTTGGCTGCCAAGAGACCAACAGAGAGCTCTTGTCAAGAGAGTGGGAGTCATCCATAACCTTTGTCACGTCAGATTGCTGAGAAGTCTGGCAGAGATATGCTTGGCTCTGAGTTGTCAATGAAGATAAGCATAGACACAGCAACAATCTTTCGCTAATTCGCACATGGAAAAACTCATTTTCTGCAGTTTTGAGTTCCTGGTCCACCTTTCAGATTGATGAATGATATTGACATCTTGGGTTTGTTGTTTTCCTTTTTCACAGCGAAGAGCGGAGTAGAAGCACCCACTAATTACAGGAGTGCAGCTGCATCTGCAAGCTCCCTGTCAGGGTTTTTGCCACACATCCATACACGCTTTTACTGCAAACTGTAAGCATGTTACACAACAAAATGCTCAACGGAACGTTCAGCGACAAAAGAAACATACGAATGCGCTTCTTACGCTACGTAGGTTTGCACTCTCACCATTCGGCGAAGATTGCACAATAGCTGCAATGGACAGCTGTATGAAGACGTTTGCCACTCATCAGTATACACTATTATATATATATATATTATACTATATATTATATATTATATATACAGATATTTTTTTCCCCGCATAGATTCAGAATGCTTGCTTCTATAGTGGACACATGCAACAAGGAAAGAGCTTTGTACCCAAGCAAATATGTCATTTCGTAAAGTCATGTGCTAGCTGCCACACCTGTCACAGAAGCAAAGATTGAGTAGGGGCCGCAACTACAGCTTTGTGATGCAAAGGATAATAGTTGTGCCCGCACTGCTTTCCTGAGCCCCTCCAAGCACTTAGCATGCCATTTTTTGGCAATTATTTTTAGAGAATTGAATGGAGGGATTGCCTTTTGAGGCGCCGAGCTATGATCTTGCTGGAGATGATGCACACGCAGGTGTGTTTGTGCAGGTTTGTGCATTGACTAGCATAAATCATGAAAGCATTTGTGCAAGCATACTGCGGAAGCAATCGCTTCATGTTCCAGGCAAACGCATCCTCCCTGTCCAAGGCATGGTGACTGTTGTTCTTTCATGAAGTTTTGGCTTTCTTCGACAATCTCCAGACATATTGCGAATTATTGTCACAATGACATTTGATGACCCACACTCAGGATGTGGCTGTGCCTTCAGAAGCCTGGCAAACTGCCATTGACAAGGCTGACGTTTCCCCCATAATCTCAAGTATGTAGATGATAACAAGAAGCTATATACTAGGTTGGAGGCCATCGCTACTAGTAGCAAGAAGCTACTGTACAGTACTTGTGACGATAGGCCGAAGGACCGCTGCCAGCGCAAAGGGATGCGTTTTGTCAATAAAATCGTTGCACTTGATGTGCATGGCACTTCCTTGTGATCGTGGATAGTTAGCTCCTAGCATGTTCATGTTGTTTTGTGTCTCACTTTTTTGTGTCTCACTTTTTGGCTGGCTTCTTTTTTGTTGATAGTTCATTGTATCCCGTTGGCTGGATGTTTCACGACATGTGCAATTTGTTCCACAGTATTGTTTCTACTGTATATATGTCTAGTTCACTTCTTGTTTTGGTCATGTTTTCCTCTTTTCCAACTGAAGGCTTTTTGTGCGTGGGCTGGGGTGGGGTTGGGCCGGTTTTTTCGTTTCCAAAGCACTTCACTACTACATCCTTGCAACTCTAGCATTTTGGAAAGGGCACACATGGGTTGCGGTTTCCATGATACTTTACCAGTTTTTTCATTGTTACATGAGAGAGACCCTTTCCTTCTTTGAGTCCTTACCTCCCTTTTTTCAAGGTCTTTTCTGTTGTGGACTCCTTGTACTTGGATGCAACTACAGTAATTTCGTGCAGCCAGACGAAGCCAGGTGTGACTTACGCAGGCAGAGTGCTTGGTTTCCATGAACCCTGGCAGAGGCAAGACTGCTTTGCAACCTCTTCCGGGTGTGCAAGTACTGCGTTGTACACCTCCCCTCTATCAAGTCTAGCAGAAGTCATCCCTGCAAAGACTTGACCGGGCGCATCAAGGATGGCTCGCTCTCTTTCTCTCTCTCTCTCTCTTTTCGACAGCGCGGTTGCCGGGAGAAAAGTGGACTTTGCCGACTCTGGCAGCACATGGAGAAGACCAAGATGGACCAGGCAGCCAAGCACAAGCCGAGCTTCCGGCAAGTCCAGAAGGAACAGGGCAAGATCTTTTCCACGAACTTCCATCTTTTCTCCGTCAAGATCCGGGAGTTCTGGACCTGATTTCAGAAGGTCCACCTCGGCGGTGCTCGAGTCCCTCGGGCTTCAAGACCTGGTGAAATTCAATGTTGCCGCCATCATCTGCCCACTTGGACGGTACGTTTGTTCTAAGTTAGCACCCACAGTCGCCATGATGCTCTTCTGGTAATCCGGAAATACTTCAAGCAAGTTAACACCCTTGCAGGACTGAAGAAAGACTCGTTCCAAGATGTTCAGGCTTCTGGAAGAGTAATTATCCGTGAAGTCAGCAGGATCTTCGTGGTTTGTGCTCCTGCAGTTGTAACTTTTGGTTTTGGACTATATTTTTTAGGAAGGGCCGGAAGGGCTGGGCTCTCACTGGGCTCCCAGGCCTTTGAGTGAAGGTTCTTGTCGCACAACAAGAAGGTTCTTGTGTTTTCTGAAAGGTTGCCAAGAAGATTCTGCAAGAACAGACTCCTCGAATGGCGATGGAGGCTCGGCTTTGGCAATTTCTGTTTTGCGTCTCGTCTATTGTTCCATGTTGCTTCCTTGCCAATCTCACATTGCAGTGACATGCACTGGAGCAGGTGCGCGGAAATATCTACGAGCTCCTGCTGGCATGCTTGCCAGCAGATTTTATTCTTAAGGACAGTTTTGGAAGTTTGATTCATTCTGGCTAGGAAGGCGCAGGCAGACCATCAACCTTTGTGGCTGGTACCTGTTGGTGTTTGTGTGTGTGTGACTCACACATTGGATGTTGTGAATCACTTGTTCTGATCAACACTAAGTGATACCTACCTTTCATGAATTGAGTGGCCTTTTCTTGAGATGATGGACAGAAGGCGAAGAGGGAACTCCTTAAATGCTGCGTAGGAATACCCGATACAGGTGGGTTAGTGTTGTCTTGCGTAGGCTGTAACAGGCACTTGCATAAGGTGTTTGGGTGGGTTTGTTGCGGTTGTTTTTTGAGTGCGTGTTCTTGAGCAGACCACTTATGCGTTTGAGTAGAGAGCGCAAGTCTTTGCTGTTTGGCACGTGCTCGCGTAGGCACCCCCACCTAGGCTCCACGTAGAGAAACAGCTCCCGCGTGGGCACCCTTCTGCATGGCGTAGGCTACGCATAGGCTCGTGCATAGGATCGTTTGTAGTGGAAAAGCTGTTAGCAGCACCCCAAAAACGTTACTCAATTGATTCCTGGAAAATCCCGGAAGAAACTTCAGAAGTTTATCATCCAGCAGAAGCGCGAACGAACTCCATTTGACTCCACCTCCACGCTTCCACCGCATGCGATGGCGGAGGAGCTTGTGCTTCGGCTCGTCGCAGAGGTAAAGAACGAGATTGTGAAACAGAAGGCCAGCACCTCGAAAGCCAGTCAGCTAGATCGATCGATGCAGATATATCTACACATGAGCAACAGGCGAAACTGTTCATGTAAGAGTTTGCCCTTGGAGGGGTCTTTCCATGATGTAGGTTGCCCCAAACCCTGTAAAAGATGTAGCGAACTACCAAAACCGCATACAGCTGCATACGGAAGACCCGTAGTTTGCTGGGAGGTTTTGCTGTTCGCACATATGATTCAGTAAGATAGAGGGTTTTCGGGCGGCCCTCACGGTCACTTGTTCTTTGATCTACCTTGTCGCTTGACGTTTGAGCTACCTAGGCAATTGCTGCTGCTGCCCACTTCAACTTTACCATGAAGCAGGGAAATAAGGTGAGCGAAATAGGCAATGAAGGAATCTTAGTCCAAAAGAATCACAACGGATGCGGTGACAGTCATTTGCAGTTGTGCGGTTGCGCGTTTGGGATTTTTGAGCACTCTCGCCGCAGGATATCTTCCATATCGAGGCATGCTGGGAAGACATTGACATATATTCATGTGGTGATGGAAACGTGTAGCGACCAATATTTCAGGCAAGGCAATGGTTGGCCCCAACACATTGCTGATGTTGAGCTTCAGGACATATATGTGTAAATCGCAACCACGAGCTTCTAGTGGCCACAATCCCAATGCTGCTAGCAAATATGCCCTGCAGGCCTTCGTGATAAATTTCATGAGGGACTACAGAGCCTGAACCCGAAAGACACCCCAAGAAATGAACAGAGGTTTGACATTGTTTTTGAAGACTGATTTCTCAGGCAGCAATGTTCTGTCCTGGTGCTGTTGTGTATTCTTGAGGCAGCAATGCAGGGAGCACGGCGCTTGGATGTTTTGCTTCTGGGAATTCAGAAGTGCGTTTCCAAAGCCAACACACCACGCAAGGGATCTACAATGTACAACGCTGCTCAAACTAGAACGAACTTCCCTCAATCACACCAACAAGCAGGTTCAATGCATAAAGGACCCAGGATTTCAGGTTTGTCAATTGCTTTACCTTGACAAATAAAGGCTTCTTGTATGTTGCACATCAGTTGCTGACAGGGCAGGTGAAGCGTGCTTGACTGCCAATTCCTGAGCTGGCCACTGGCCACTTCTTGATGTTCACGACAGATACAATTTCCTTTGTAGTAACATGGTTTCTTTCTTGACAGCGGAACATTGCCTGAAGTGATTTGGAATTGAATGTTCATATGATTCATGCGTATATATAGTGAGCTTGCTCCGACGACAACTGCATTCTGAACGAACTTGTCAATAAGAAGCTGAGTGAATGGGAGAATGGGTGGAGCGGAGATTTCCGAGCTCCATGTGGGCGAGGCCTGGCAGCCAAAACGTATGAACACCTATGAAGATCTCTAGAGAAAGGACGCACAGGAAGCGAGAGTGAAACGACACAGGATAACAAAGGCCGCCAACCTCGGTTCTAGACCACTGCAGAAAGGGGTGGGGGACCATGGCAAGTGGTGACAGCTGAAAAGAGACCGCTTGTGATGAAATTTCTTTCAAAGTCGAGGCCCGTTCTTTGGAGTGGAAAATGATATAATATAGATACATTTTTCTCGTTGCAGTGAGTTCCTTGATGACGTGTAAGCTGTTGAGCGCTGGCTCAAGGACTGTGATGAGAAAGTCGCAAAGATCCAAGAATCACGACAGTATTGCGAACAGTCAAGTCAGCTTTCGACAGCTGGTCGCAGCAGTGAGTGTATATCAATATAGAATTGTATCTATCTGCATATAAAGTCCCAAAGAACAGCTGAAACATGCTGAAAGTGTCCCAAACAACAGCCAGTGAAGTATCTCCAGTGGCACACAGTGGAAACCGGATGAGCTCCACTTTTCCCTTTTGTGTCCCTTTTCACGGGCAACTTTCGTGGCTCAATGGATTTATTAGAGCCATGGCTGATGAAGCTGTGCAGGTGCCATGGCATCGCATATTTTCGATGCTTGCGAATTGCCGTAACAGGTAATGGTCGGAACTTTTCTCAACATGTCCTTACCTCTTCAGGTCGCGGTGCGGATCCGCCCCTTTTTGCCTCGTGAGCGAATTGCTTAGCAGTTCAATGCCTGCACAATGCGACAGGCACCACAGGTGACCACGCGATCAGGGGTTGACCACTGCTGTCTTCGCCAAGGAAAGGGCAGCGGCAGATCGTCACTGCGCTTGGCCTCGGTGCAACATGGGTGAAGTCCAAGACCCGCAGATCATTCACCCGGTGTGAACGGACTGTGTTTGGGGAGGTTCCTGGAGGTCTGCATTTGTTTCTGCAGTTGTTCCTGGGTGCTTTCGGAAAGGCATGGCCTGACAAATCAAAGATGGATGAATGTCAGAGATCAGAGAAGATCAAAATAATGTCAACCTAGGATTAGGGAACCCCCCCCCCTATTAGAGTCTACCCAGCGTTCAGGCCCCAATAATAAACTAATTTGAACTACTAATTTCCACAGTCACCACCCTCTAATAAATTTTTTCTTGGCTGAACCCCCCCCTATTAGTCTACCCCCTGTCCCCCCAGGAAAAATATAATTATTCAAATATATATAATATATGTGTGTTTAATTAGTTTTCTTCTTTTTCCATTTTCAATATCTTTTGGTCCATGGTGAAACTGATCTTCTGATCCACTCTTTTCCCATGCCATCTCTTGAGAGATAGCATTCTGATCCACCCTTCTCACATGCCATTTGGCATTCTTCCAGCTGATGCTCTCATCCATCCTTCTTCTCATCCTTCTCATCCTGCTGCTGCTTCTTCTTCTCATCCTTCCCAGCAGCCATCTGTGCAGCCATTGTATACTCATATGGGATCTTCCTGCCCATCCTCTTCCCCTCCTTCCTCATCCAATAGGCGCATTTCCACACATTGCAATCCATACACCCACTGGAATACCTGCACTTGCCACATACCCCAATCCCATCCAACTCAATCTTGGTTTTGGCTTTCAAATAGGCTGCTGGGAGCTCATCATTCCATCTCATCTCATCTCCTCCTCCTGTCATCATCAGGTCATCCCCACTATTAGGGTGATGTGATCTCCAAAACCTCCAATCCCAGACCTTGTTAACCTTGTTGACCTTCTAGGGGGGGGGGGCCGTTGATTAATCCGACGTCGACATTATATCAAATTGCTCTCCCCCAGAACTACTAAATTCCCCGCGCCGCGTCACTAAATATTCTTTAGTGGAGGGCACCGGGTACTGGAGGGACAGCTTCCTGTTTTTTTTCCAGTTTTGACTCTTCTCGTTAGATCAAAGGGCTTGCCCGCTGCTAGTCTATTCCGGGGCTCTATATACATTGTCGGACGAGCGTCCTCGGCGAGATGTACTTCCTTGTAAGTTCTTGGGAGTGTATTTGAGGTGCAAAGTGCGAATGTGCTGAAGCTAAAGGCGCACGATTGATACGAGGATGTACAGAGCAATAGACACCAGCATCAGACAAATCCTTTAATTCCTCCGCTTGTGTGTTGTTTACGTTTTTCGGATTTGAACTCTGTGTGGTGCCCCACCCAGCAGCCACACACACACTCAGTCTCTGCAGCATAGAGGGAGAGACTGAGGAACCTTTCCAAGGGCCAGCATCAGAGTCCACCTGACAGGTTCTGACCACCCAGTTGGCCGGGCCACCACAGGAGGAGGACAAAGTCAGAGCCCAGAGTCTAGGATCTCCTGCAAATTAGGGAAGCGTTATCACTCATGATACTCATGTCAATGTCTGCGGCTGGGTCTAGGGTCACAAAGTTACTTTCCTTGCAGACGTTTATATAACAGTGAGCAAGTTTTGAAGTGATTGGTCTTTCGATTTAAGGTCTTCTCCTTCGATCATTGCCTGTCTTCGGTCAAACCGAATGACTCTAGAAGGCCCGGAGAGTTTGTTTGTTGATGAGCTCTGCAGGTGATCAGTGACAAGCAGGAAGTATAGGAAATCATGGACCTTGTAAAAAGACTTCAGCAGGAAGATTAGGAAGGGTCTGGACGAGGCTAAGGCCACGCCAAGACCTTTTGGCCTGGACCACCAATGACCAAGCTCCGGACGCCTCGACCAAGCTGGATCGTGGCCAGGGACGAGCCTCACGCTCCCCCCATCACACAGGAGCAGGTCTACGAGGCCTTCCTTCTTACTCCGCTGTCAGAATTTCAGGCACCGTTTTTTGAACAGTGCCATCTACTAGGGTTCGAAAAAATGGGTGCCCGATTAGGGAAATGCCATCTGTAGATGGCACTACTCCAGGTGCAGGCAGGCACTGGCCAGGCGTTCCATCTACATGGTTTTAAATGTGTTTTAAAGGCAGAAGGCATTTTGTGTTTCCATTTTTTTTTTCCCCTAATGGCGCTCAACCGCGTGGGCTTGGGAGGCGTAAATAACTTTGTGCATATGAAGCCCAAAAGGCCTCCATAGATGGCGCAATGCAATTTTCATTAGTGAAAAAAATTGAGAATGGATGCCAAAAAAAAAAACATCACTTTTCACTTTTCACTTTGCTCTGAAGAGGCGGCTTTTTGCGGCCTCACCAGTGAAAAAGAGCTGGGTCACGCTGACCTCCAACTCGAAAACACCGATCGCTGACGATCGTCAACCACGATGGCCATCCGGGGATCGCCCCCCGCGGCCGGCAGACAAGTCAGTCCCGCAGCTCTTCGACTCCACCAGGCAAATGTCGTTGCAACCACTCATCAACAATGTCCCTGCGTACCGGAGACCAAGCAACTGGCAAGCATTGACACCAGTGGGACAAAATGACCGAGCCCGGCCGCTGTAATTGAAACAGCCGGGGTGACTGTAAGTGGAGTAACAACAATCGAAGAGCTTTGCTGAACCATTTCACCTGTGTAGTGAATTCATGGCCTCTAAGTCGCTCCAGTCCAGGAAGGTTAGGATCACTCCAGCGGCGTGTGGTAGAATGGAAACAAGGGCCCACCTTTCCAAATGCCATCTGATAGTCCACGTACAGCTGGGCTGGGGAGACCCAACTCCCCCAAACATGTCCTGTACAGACTTGCTGGAGCCATTTCCATAGACGTTGAGCCTGAAGGGAACCCAAGACACTCAACAGCACCTCTGGCATGGGGGTGTCCTGTGAACATTGCACACACTGGGCCAAAGGCAAGCGGCAAGCGTGCTTCCGGGAGGGCGGCACGCATCTGTGGGCCACCAACTCTAGGTCGAAGTCGAATGGATTCTTCCCCAATACTGCAGTGAAGTTGCACAACATAATTGCTGACTGCTTCAGCTTCCTGCAATTGAGAACGGGATCTTGTGTACAACTCCGTTCACCACTGAACTCACCATCCTTCTTCCCCCTGGAAGGTGCAGTGTTAACTTCCATGGGAAGGGCTGTGTCCCCACCTGAGAGAGAGGCAACCTGACCAACTGCCGCGACTGGAAAACGAAAGAAGCCACCTTGCTCTGCCTCTTCCATGAGCTTGGTCCTCTGCTTCGACAGAACTTCCAATGGGCCTTCACCACTAGGTGGCAAGAGTCCTCGGTGGGCGAGATGTTGGCGAACATGTGTCAACACCCAAGCGCTCTGAAGGGGCGAAGCCAGTTGACCAACCAGACACAATCCGAGGCGTGCGTCTTGGCCCCAGTCCAAATTGGGAGACAGCCCATTCATCAAGGCGCACTCAGCACCCGATGGATACCTCATATGAGGAAGCTCCATGCCCATGTGCTTGGTTGATCCTTCCACTGGGATCAAAAGGACATGAATTCCATCTCTCTGCAATCGCTCCAGTGACAGTCCTGTGTTTCTACAACCACATCTACAGCCGTGGAAATGACTGCCCCAAGCATGCACTGCTGTAGGTGCCTGCTCCCCAACTCTGATACTGAAGCGCTCCAAAGTGCCGAGCTCATGGATAGAACGAAGCTCATACAACGTGAATGCAAGCTGCTTTGCATGTTCAGGTGGAACTGTATCAAAACTGCTCAAAACCGATGAGATCTTCGGGGTGGATTTAATCCCACTCCAATCAAACAGTTTGAACGGCCCCAGATTCTTCTTCGACAAAACTCCCCACCACCGGTGTCGCCGAGATACCCAAACATCGCCCAACTCGAGCAAAACCGATTCATAATGGAATCCTGAGGCCTCGCAAAAGGCTTTGATACATCTGTCAAAGGCGGGGAACCGAACCACCTCAGCAACACATTCCAGCACAACGATGGGCACTTGCATCCAGTATGCTGCTCGGAGCACTTTCGGCAAGCAACTAGCTCTTGCATCAGCACCTCCTCTTCGATCTCCCAACCGTGAGAACGGCTGGCATGATACGCCAGCAGTCAAAACCCCCGTAGTTGGCACCTGCTTCATGATCGTGGCAACTGTTATGGAATCACCAATATCCCCTCGGATGATGACCGGTCCTCCCTGCCGCTCCAAAAAATCACAGATTTCATGTCTAACTTCAGTTCTAGCCATGACCTTGAAGCCAGCAGCTTCTGCCCCATGACCAAGTGCTCCCAAACCTGAGCAGGTCTCCACCACCTGCATCAGGGATTCCGGTGTGAGCGCCTGATGCACGAAAGCAAATGACATACGATCCATCTTCAATGAAGGAATATTGTCAGCTCGGGTGACTATCAAATCCAGAAAAGTGATCTTCACGGCCCTGTCAAGATTCAAATCTTGTTGGATCCACACTTTCTGGCGATGGCAGACAGTCTCTCCCAAAATCCAACCATTCCCATCCATCCATTCGACCTGGATCACCAACGATGTTCGTGAATCCTGTTCCAGATTGGCCACTTGCGGCTCAACGACCAAACTCTCCATGATCAAAGCCTAGCTAGGACCGCCCCACCGCTGGTAGGTGTTTGATCCAAGGGCTAAAAAAAAACATCATCCATAGATGGCGCAGAGCACAGGATTCAATCCTTTGAATCAGGTGGATGACGAATGACTCATTCTAGAGGGTACAGTATTTACCCCTGCGGATTGTTCCGCCGGCCCTTTTGGCTGGGGGGGGGGGGGG